GGGCTGGGGATTCGAACCCGCCACCTTAGGTGTACGTGGCTGGCGCCTTAGCCGGTTGAGCTATAGGCGCCGAGCCTACATTTGTTACTATTAATGAACCAAAATACATTATTATTTTTTAACCTCATACCAGGCTGTAGTTACCTTATTATTAACTAAATTCCATTTCCTGAGCTTTTACCTAATGTCCTTTTCCTGTTCCATGATCCCATCCAGGCTGTCATGTTGTATTTAGTTGTCCGTTCTTATTATTTTTTTATTAGCAATTATCATCTTACTAACTGGCTTACTCCTCAGAAGAGCTCTGTGAGGTGTTTCTAGTCTGTTTTCTCACCTACAGCCCCATTCTGCTGCCAGCTTTTAGGCAGGGGCCCCATCACCTAGTTTTGCCCCTAATGTCCTGCTCAAGGTGTTGTGACTGTGCTACCCTACAGCTTCATGCAGTGCTGAGGTTCCCAGGCAGGTAGCAGCCCTGGAGAGCCTGTCTGGTCAGTGATGGGATGGAGAAAGTCTTGGGAGGGAGTCAAGCAGGGACCTAAGGACTGCAAGGCCACTTCCAGAGGCCATGGATACCGCCCCACCTACAGCCTCAATTTCCTAGAAAGCTCCCTCCTCTCCTTCTCCACCACAGTCACTCCCGCTGAGCAAGCATCAATCCCTAGCTGTTGGCAAGGCAGAAGGCAGCTTTCTGGGAAGCCCCCAGGGCTCCTGCTGGGAGGTGTCTCCTTCCCTTTGGAGCAGCAGTTTCCCCACAGCCCCTCGTAGCCAGGTGGGTGATCCCACAGGTGGGTCCCTTTGCCTCCCTTGTATGAGGCCTGGGCCCTGCCCTGGTGGCAGGGGTGGGACTTATCATGGGCATCCATGGTGTTTATGGGGTCATGAGCCTAGGCCATGCCTGGGGACACTGTGGAACCAGGTCAGTGGCCACAGCCCAAGCCTGACCTCCCAGGCCCATGGCACAGTTGTGACTTTGGGATAGAGTGTAAGGCCAAACTGTCCACTTCAAGGTAGTGGTGGAATGCTGGTGGAATCCTGTCCCCACCTTAGCCAGGAAGGTGCCAGGACCCCTCCCCTAGATCAGGAGCCAGAAGAGCTGAGGCTGCCCTTCAACTAGGAACAGGCAGGTCCCCACCATCTCACTACATAAGGGGCAGGGAGGAGCATGCACAGGAATCACCTGGCCCTCCAGGTGAGCTGCAAGTGCCGATCCTGCAGGGCTGGGGCTACCCAAGTCTGCACTTCTAACCACACAAACCCCTCTGAGTGCTAGGGCTCCAGTGGGTTTTGAATCTGCAGCTTCTAAGTTGTGTGACCTTGGGCAACTGACCGTCTCTCTGACCCTCTGTTTCCTCATCTGCAAGATGAGGAAGATGTCCCCAACCTGGCCATGTGCATGGGAGTGCTGGGGGTAGGGTGCTCCCACCACACCCACAGGGTGCCCAGGCTGTTCTGGACCAACAAGGAAGGTGAATACCAGTGTGGCTGAGAGGTTAGATGAGGAAGACACTAGAAACTGTGGGCAACCAACTGCAACTTCAGGGACAGGGAAGGTGCTGGCACCCTCCTTTCCAGAGCCCTCGGAGATGGTCATTGCCATGTCACAAAGGAGGACATTGGGGCTTGGGTAACAACTTGCTCATGGTCTCACAGCTTGTAAAGGCTAGGAAGAGCTAAAGCCAGGTCGTAGACCTGCACCAGGCTCAACTGTCGGGCTTCAAGGGCCTCGGGAGCCAGGACAGGCCCAATAAGGTGTCAACCTCCCAGGGGTCCCTGCCGTCTCAATCCTGCACCTAGTGTAGGTCCTGGCAAAGTAGGCCCAGGCCATCCCAGAAGACAAGGAAGGCAGAGGATGGGGCAAGGGCCAGCTTGCTCAGCCCCCTTGGCAGTGAACTGTGTCCCTGCTGACTGCTCGGGTAGCATCCTTCTGCCTGCTGGACAGTGAGGTTTGTTGCACCCACTTTATTAAGTAACGGGGATGCTCCGATTCTGTGTCTTCTCCCTGACCTGCCTCCTTAGGCTTGGACTTCAGGCTTCATGTCCGCTGCGTCGTCAGCACCATGGACTTCCTGCCCACTTAGACATCATCCACCTTCCTGCCTCCATCTCCTGCTCCTGGGACCCAGTCCAGCTCCCTGAAGCTCGAACTGAGATCACCAAGGGTAGGGTCAGTGTTCCCCACTTTCTGGGGAGAGCAACTGTGGAGGAGCTTCATCTGCCCCGAATTCCCTGCCACAGAGCCCACCCCAGTCTCATGGGCCCCTCTCCCTGCAGACAACCCTTTCAGCTCCTACCACAGGGAGGGGGCACGATTCTATAATGAGGCTGCTCTGAGAACCTGTTTGGGGAGCACAGCCCGTAGGCCGGTCCTGGAGTTGCACTGGCATTGGGCCGGTCCCAGTGTCTGCCCCTTCCTGCAGCCCCAGTGGCCCATCCTCCCACAGGAGGCCTCACTGACTCCTCTCCTTCTCAGATGGCCCTTCTATTTATTTTTTCAGATAGAGTTTCACTCTGTCACCCTGGGTAGAGTGCTGTGGCATTATATCCCACAGCAACCTCAAACTCCTGGGTTCCAGTGATCCTCTTGCCTCAGCCTCCTAAGCATCTAGGACTACAGGCACCCACCATGACAGCTGACTAGTTTTTCTATTTTTAGTAGAGACAGGGTCTCACTCTTTCTCAGGCTGGTCTCAGACTGCAGAGCACAAGCAATTCTCCCACTGTGGCCTCCCAGAGTGTTAGGATTATAGGCATGAGCCTGGCCCCAAGATGTCCTTTCAAAGGCAACAGCAACAGAACCCAACTGGCAGCCTTGGATGGGGCAGCCCTGCCCTTCTGCTCTCACTACCAGGGTGTTGCTGTTACCACCTTTGTGCTCCTAAACTCAGGTTCCCAAAGAACCCCCAGAGTCTTGTGCCTGGCCCCATCCGTTAGGTAGGAATAGCTGGCCTCCAAGTCCCTCCAGCACTTTATGAGCTTATGCAGAAATAGTTCCTAGGATTGGGCTTGATTTTTACCATGAAGAGTCCTGGCCTTGGGTGGGTAGAAGACCACCTGAACAACTCCAGAAGGAAGCAGGGAAGTGCCCTGTGTGGCTGCAATCAACTGTGAATCTGAATGCTGGTCTTGGCATTCTAGGGTAGCCTCATTTCTGGTTCAACCAATGGTAATGTGTTCAGAGTAATTCTGTTTGAACCCCTTATATATCAGCAACTTCTCCAGAAGGCAAAGTGGATACACTTGGGGCATATTTAGGTTTTCTCTGTAATATACAAATAGAGGTGACATGCTATTGCATAGCCCTTGTTCTACTGAATAACATAGTATATGGCTTTTACATACCATGCACAGATCTCTGAATTTTTATATTCCCTGCCTGACATTCCATCAGATGTAGACTGATGTTACTGGCAATCACCAATTAGGGTGGCTTCATTCTCATATCAGCTGCGTGCTGTTTCCTGAGCCAAGAGACACTGACCTGTGAGATGAGGGGCTTCTGTGGTGGGGCCTGCTGGGTGCTGGGGTTGGGTCACCTAATTTTGCTTTCCCCTGTGGGGGCTCAGGGGCTCAGTGGTCTCTAGGAGTCAGGAAGGGAGGATGGCAGACATTTGCTCTCCTGGAACTCCCTCTCTGTCAGTAGGGACGGTGGAAGGGGGAATGCAGCCCTCCCTGAGACTCTGCAACTAGAGGCACGCTGCTGAGCAGACTGGGGTCTGGAGCTCTGCCAAGTGCACTGGCTGTGGCCTACAAGGCATATCATTGTAGGCTTGGTCCCTGGGGAGGGAGGAAGGCATGGATTCCAAATCAAGAAGTGACATGTGCAGCTCTCCACCCATCAGCACAGGGCATCAGTCTGTCCTAGTCAATACACCCAGTTTTCCCTGCCTGCTGGGCTGGCAATAGCTGAGACTTGGCCCTGCTCCTGGGTCCTGCATCCCTGTGTTCATGCTTCCTGCCTGGTGACTCTGAGCCAGCTGCACCTGACCTTCTACCAGGTTCACTTCTCGGGCATATGAGCCCCTGGGCTAGAGACTCACTCCACCGCATGCAGCTGAGACTGCAAGTGAGTCTGGGGCAGGGGGACATTTGCCCTCTCACACATGCTCAGGCCTGTGCCTGGGCTCTGGGCCTCAAGGGCTGGAGATAGCTCTTCCCCTGGGCAGGGTGGTGGTGATCCTCAGGTCACTGCAGTGATATTGCCAGGGCCCCAGGACATCATGAGCTCTTCAGGGCCAGTGGGCTTTGAGGACTCATATGGGCAGGAGCCCATGCTGGACCCATGGGAGTGGGACTTGTGCATGGGCTCCTCAGGTATTGATCCCCCTACACCTGCTCAAGAGTGTGCTGGCAAAATGGGGACGCTCTGCCTATAGGGAGGGCAGGAGATTGTGCAACTGCATTCAGTGGGGAACAAAGCAAAGACAGACACGGTCCTCCTCATCTGCAGAAAGGCTGTTTCAGCACTGCCTGGAGTGGTTACAAAGGTGGTGTGCAGGAGAAGGTTGCAGGAGGGCTCACCCAACCCAGGAGGCTTCAAATCCCTTCTTTTGGGTGGGCTCCAGCAGTTACACCAGCCTGTCTTCTCCTGTGGGTGGTCCCTTTGCTGCTGGCTGCTGCCCTCGTCCTAGGGTTTGATGTCTTTGTGGGCCTGAGCCAGACCTGGGCCCAGAAGCTTCAGGAAGACAACAGAGAATAGGTTTAATAAACCATGATTTCAAACCTATTGAAAGCAGATATGGAGAAGTTACGTGACAATTTGTCTGAGAAACTTCTTCCTTCTGTCCTTCCAGAATTGTGGCTGCTTTTACAAATACTTAATGTATGCTATACTCTAAGTAGAGTCCAATGTCTCCCAAGGCTGAATTTGGGAGACTTTGCCTCCCAGAGAGGAAAGGTGACATTTGGGAACAGAACAAGCCAAGAGAGTCCAAGAGCAGCTGGGAGTCAGGAACCTGGCAGGAAGGAGTGGCCTGGGAGGGTCTATCAACTTCCCACAGCCACAGGAGTTCAGAGCAGCCTGTGTGGCTTCTATCATGAACAGGAGGAATCCAGGAACAAAAGAAATAGCCCTGAGATGAAGGAGCTCTTCCCATGCCGGGATCTGAGCTGGCCAGCCTGTCGCTAAAGGCCTTGGGGCAACATTTCCCACCTCTAGCCTCCTTCCCCTGTCCCTGGGCTTCTGGGACTAGTCCATACAGGAGGGGTCCGCACAGGTTGGATGGCAGCTTGTCAGCCCTGACGCTGCCTGCCATAGCAAGCACAGACCCCAGACGTGCCAGTGCTGGCTATGCTGCTGACCCCAGGCGGCCTGTGAACAGCATGGCCCTTCATCTCTGATTTTGGCAGCAAAGACCTCTCTAGACATGTTGATCTAGGCTAGGAAGGGACGGTGGTGGGGCAGGGGACAGAAGGTGGGGACAAGGACAAGAATCTGGAAGGCGGCTCGGTGCCTGTGGCTCAAGTGGCTAAGGCACAAGCCACATACACCTAAGGTGGCAGGTTCGAATCCAGCCTGGGCCCGCCAAAACAACAATGACAGCTGCAACCAAAAAATAGCCAGGCACTGTGGTGGACGCCTGTGGTCCCAGCTGCTTGGGAGGCTGAAGCAGAAGACTCACTTAAGCCCAAGAGTTGGAGTTTGCTGTGAGCTGTAATGCCACAGCACTTGACCGAGGGTGACAAAGTGACTCTGTCTCAAAAAAAAAAAAAAAAAAGATATATATATAGCTTGTCTGTTTAAAGAAGCTAGGCTGACTTGCTCTTGGTTCTGGTCCCTTCCAGCATCAAGCATCAACTCTTGCTTCTTCTCCCTCCATTATCCAAGCACATTATCAGGATAATTTTAATAGCACAGGAGGGTGTTTCCACAAGTGGCATTATGTACCAATTGGAACCACATTGTGTAAATGACTTTTCTCTTTTCACTTTTAAACACAAGGGTAGAGATCATGTTGTTTGCTGCCATTTTATTCTCTAAATTGTAGTTGAACGATGACATATTTGATGTCCTTTTGATGAAGACCTATTCTATGGTTAAGGATAACACATATTGAACCCAATTATATAAGCATGTAGTTCTCTGAATACCAGTTTCTGGAAAAACATTCTCAGGTAGAACTGCCAGGTCAAAAGCCACACCCTTACTGTGGGGCCACAGGACTACACCAGCATCTGCCCACCCCCAGCCTTGCCACCACAGACCCGTATCAGCCTAAATCTTTGCCTATCTGAGCAGCATGAGATAATAGCATGAGTGTTTTAACGTGGCTCGTTTTGATTAGAAGCCAAGTATCTTTATAGCCACTTGTACCTTATCAATTACCCTTCATGTCTTTTATCTACTATCCACAATCTTTCCTTGTTTGTAAAGAGTTTTCACAAGTCAAGGGGTCAGAATCCTCATCTTAAAAATTTCCCATCCAACTGGCCATTGGCTGTTCTTGGTGTGTATAGTTTGTATGAGAGGATTATGTAACAACAAATGTTTTACCTGATTTATTTATTTATTTGTTTTTTGAAACAGAGCCTCAAGCTGTCACCTGGAGTAGAGTACTGTGGCATCACAGCTCACAGCAATCTCCAACTCCTGGGCTCAAGCGATTCTCCTACCTCCGCCTCCCTAGTAGCTGGGATTACAGGCACCTGCCATAACACCTGGCTATATTTTGTTTGCAGCCATCACTGTTGTTTGGCGTGCCCAGGCTGGATTCGAACCCGCCAGCTCAGGTGTATGTGGCTGGCACCTTAGCCGCTTGAGCCACAGGCGCCGAGCCATATTTTTATTTTCAAATATAGGCAATGACCCTCCCATACTCTATATAATCAGAAAAGTACCCATTTGTTTTTGTGTGATGCTTCTGTGACAATGCAATTATTTCTTTCCTGCTTTCAGGAGCACATAGGTGTATCCTTTTAGCAAATATTTAAACTATGCACATATGTTTGTCAACACTTCTATCAAAGGAGTCTGTTCACTGAAACAAAGGTAGAAAACAGATGAACAATGGAGTCCGCTGCAGCACTGGGTTCCCTAAACTTTCTCTGGAGGGACACAATCTAAGCTTTGGCTTTCCTAGATAGCAAAACTTAGTCTGAATTTTACCCAACTTAAAGCTTTTTTCCTCCCCTATTACCACCTCCTGGTGTGAGCAGGCACCTGCTGAGTGTTGAGAGTGGCTGCGTCAGACCCACAGGGATGATAACAAACCACTCTTGCTGACCTGTGGCAGGAAGTAGAGCTGCTCATGGCCTTAGGTTTTATCTCTTCCTGTCCTTTGGGGAGGAGGCAGGGCTGTGGCTACACCTACGTGAGATCAAGGGCCTACTCTCCATCTCCCCCACTCCAAGCTCCTACGCACTTACTGCACATTGAGACCTATAGCACATTGAGATCAAATACTTTTATGGTGCTTTGTTCTAAATAAAGGGAAGAGGATACTTCCCAGCCTGTTACTTCAGCTGAAGTAAAATTTAACATCTTAAAGTGTGGCTCCATGGCCACACATTTCTGTAAGAGCATTTCATGGAAAAGTGCCAATTCTGCCCAGCAGTGGGAACACTAGATACCCACCCAGATCAACCTCAAGTAAGTCACCAACACGCCAAATTATACATGTACATATTTTAAAACATTTAAACCATTGTTGAAGTAACTTGGGGGAAAAGGCATGCAGGTAGGCCAAAACTAAAGTAAAAGCCAAAACTCTGGCAAGAAAAGCCAGCTTCTATTTTAGTAATTTCTACAGAACTCTGGAGATTGTGACATTCTGCTTTCACAAGTACAGGGCACTGCAGGTTAAGTCCAGAGCCTGCCAGAGGTACAAGTCTAGATACAGGCCTCCAGAGGGCTAAGTCCTCAGTGTTAAGAGCAAAGGAGAAGTAAATCCATTGCACAGAAGGAGCCCCAAGGAATCTTGCCTATCTTGATCTTGGGACTGGTTGGACTGGGGAGAAAAAACAAAAAAAAACCCTGGTGTTTACAGTCCAAATTCTTAGACTGATGGGGAGAAGCTGGTGGGCAGTGGATGAGAGGGGGTCAATCTGGAAAAAAAAACCTTAAGAGCTGAACTTAATTTATAGCGATCTACAGACTTCAAGAAGAAGCAAATGTGAATTATATCTGAATGAATTCTCACAGATAAAGTTACAAATAAAACTCAGTCAGAAAACACAAGAAATGATAAGGGGTGAAAAGTCACAGTACAAAGTGGAAAGACAGTTGCAACACATTCTTGACAAAAGATTCATATCCAAAATACATTAAAAGCTGCTACAATATGTAAAAAAAAAAAAGGCAACACAAATAGAAAAACAGACAAAAGACATAGGCATTTCATAAGAGAGAAACTCACTGAAATTGTACATGACAGGAAAGATGCTCACCCATAATAGTGAGTGTAAAAATTAAACTTCAAGACACAATTATAGACCCACTGAACTGGCAAAAATTAAAAAATTAGAGAATACCAAGAATTAATGAAGGTATGGAGACAGGACCTCTCCTTGGGTGACAACCTAAAAAAAACAAATACCCTTGCACCAGAATCACATGGTTTATAATAGCAAAATAACAACAAAACCCACAAACAACAAAAATGAGAAATAACCCATATGTCCACTATCAACAACAGAACATGCAAATACATTCTGATATATTCCTACAAAGGAATCCTATAATGAATACAAAGTAAGGGTTAATCTGTCCAAGGTTTATCTCTTGCAAACTGGCCTCCAAGAAAAGGAGTTGGCTTCTTACAAGGTGCTGTGGAACTCAGCCACTGCCAAGTGCCTAAGATACTGATCAATTAATTATAAGACTTGGACCCTGGGCCCCTAATTATCGTCAGAGCAGCTGGTGCTTCCCCAACTGTGAATGCAATGCAGTAAGTTCAGCTGCTGGCTGGCCACATCAAATAACTGGTATGGCAAAACTTGAACCTTGGCAGGGCACGGTGGCTCATGCCTGTAATACTAGCACTCTAGGAGGCCAAGGTGGGTGGATCACCAGAGCTCAGGAGTTCCAGACTGGCCTCAGCAAGAGTGAGACCCCTGTCTACTAAAAACAGAAAAATTAGCCAGGTGTTTCAACGGGCACCTGTAGTCCCAGCTACTCAGGAGCCTGAGGCAAAAGGATCATTTGAATCCAAGATTTGACATTGCTGTGAGCTATGATGCCAGGGCACTCTACCCAGGGAGACAGCTTTAGACTCTGTCTCAAAAATAATGATGAAGAAAAAAGATTGATTTATATAAAGTTCAAAATTTAAAAAAAGAAACCAATAGGCCAGGTGTGGTGGCTCATCCCTGTAATCCTAGCACTCTGGGAGGCCAAGGCAAGTGGATTGATTGATTGAGCTCAGGAGCGTTGTGGCATGTGCCTGTAGTCCCAGCTACTTGGAAGGCTAAGGCAAGAGGTTCACTTGAATCTAAGAGTTTGGCTCGGCCCCTGTGGCTCAAGTGGCTAAGGCACCAGCCACACACACCTAAGGTGGTGGGTTTGAATCCAGCCCAGGCCCGCCAAAATAACGATAGCTGCAACCAAAAAATAGCCGGCATTGTGGCAGGTGCCTGTGGTCCCAGCTACTTGGGAGGCTGAGGCAGGAGACTCCCTTGAGCCCAGGAGTTGGAGGTTGCTGTAAGCTGTGATGCCACAGCACTCTACCCAGGGAGACAGCTTGAGGCTCCTGTCTCCAAAAAAAAAAAAAAATCTAAGAGTTTGAGGTTGCCGTGAGCAATGATGCTACGGCACTCTACCAAGGGTAACAAAGTGAGACTGTCTCAAAAAAAACCCAATATGGGCTCGGTGCCTATAGCTCAACCGGCTAAGGCGCCAGCCACGTACACCTAAGGTGGCGGGTTCGAATCCCCAGCCCAGACCCGCCAAACAACAATGACGGCTGCAACCAAAAAAAATAGCCGGGCGTTGTGGCGGGCGCCTGTGGTCCCAGCTACTTGGGAGGCTGAGGCAGGAGACTCGCTTGAGCCCAGGAGTTGGAGGTTGCTGTGAGCTGTAATGCCACGGCACTCTGCCCAGGGGGACAGCTTGAGGCTCTGTCAAAAAAAAAAAAAAAAAACCCAATATGGTAGTAACATTATTTAAAAAGCAAGGGGATGATCAATACCAATTTTAGGGCAATGGTTTTGTCTGCAGGGGCAAGGATGCTTCACGAAGAATGCACAAGAATACACTGAGGCCTAATGCCTTCTTTAGCTTAAAATATTGGTTAGACCCAGGCACAGTGGCTCATGCCTATAATCCCAGCACTTCAGGAGGCTGAGGTGAGTGGATCACCTGAGCTCATGAATTCGAGACCAGCCTGAGCCAGAGCGAGACCCCTTCATCTCTAAAAATAGCCAGGCATTGTGGTGGGCACCTGTAGTCCCAGCTACTTGGGAGGCTGAGGCAAGAGAATTGCTTGAGCCCAAGAGTTAGAGGTTGCTGTGAGATATGATGCCAGGGCATTTTACCAGGGGCGACAAAGTGAAATTGTCTCAAAAAAAAAAAAAAAAAAAGTTGGTTAAAAATCTGTTCCAAATTTTCACAAAGTATAGGTGAGATCTTAGCCTTTATGCTGCTGAGACCAGCAACCTCCCTGCCTCACTGCGATCTGCTGGGCCTCTCCCCACTTTGCTACCCTACTTCTTCCACCTCCTCTGTTCCCCTCTAGCTGCTTTCTCACCTCCTTACTGCACTACAGACAGTGGGGCTGCCAGCACCTCTGCTTACACGGGCAATCCCCACTCACTTCCTAGCAAACTTCTACTTCTTCAAAATGCAGTCGTGGCACCTCCCCAATTCACCCGAATTTCTAAACAGCTGCATCCCCCTGTCCTCCGTGTCGGTACCTCTATCAGAAGGGCAGTGTCACGGCTGCATTCTTCTGTATATGCCCACCTCCCTGCCTGGATTATGATCCAGCCACTTTGTGTCACCAGAGCTTTAATGTCAGAGTTGAGAAAGGAAAAGATAGAGCCACACCAAAGCTTTGTACTACAGGTGTCAAATGTCAAGGACCACCAAGGCCCCCAGCAGTGTCATGGGTGTCAGTGCAGAGAGAAATAGAGTGCAGAGTAACCAACGTTCATGAGTGCCTCTGAGTGATCTCTACACATCTGCTCACTTAACTGTCTAGAGTCCTATGAAGCAGCCCCAGGAACTCATTTTTCAGATGTAGAAACAGACATAAAGGCACACATTGTAGAAAGCTGCAGAACAGGGATTCAAACCCAGGCTCTGGCTCCAGAACCTGCACCTGACAGGGACACTGCATTCCCAGGAAGCCATGGAGTGGGTTATCAGATGGCCATGCCTGTTCCAGATGGCAGTGGAGTGATCAGTTTGTCTCTGAAGCCAGATGGCTTAAAATCCCAGTTCCACAACTTATAGGTGGCCTGAAGCCGAGGGATTCCTCCTCCTGTCTGGCAAGGTCATGCTGTGGTACCAAGAGCTGTTGTCCTGCCAGTGCTATTGGGGAGACTGATATCCCTACACTGCCCCCAGGTGACATCCTTGGTTAGTGCTCCAAGGTCTATGACAACGTAGATACCCCATCACCTTCAACAGTGGTGGGATACAGGGTTTGATCATCAAAGGGCTCAAGGTGATCAAAGGTGCAGGTAGGGTGCCCTAAGCACTAATTCTACACACCATCACGTTGAATGATTTCCCTTTGGACACCTAGGGACTACTGGCTGTTCCTGAACCCTAAATAAGAACTCGCTATCCCAGGCTGGGCGCGGTGGCTCACACCTGTAATCCTAACACTCTGGGAGGCCAAGGGAGGTGGATTGCCCTGTGCTCACAAGTTCGAGACCAGCCTGAGCAATAGTGAGACCCTGTCTCTAAAAATAGCCAGGCATTGTGGCAGGCACCTGTAGTCCCAGCTACTTGGGAGGCTAAGGCAAGAGAATCGCTTGAGCCCAAGAGTTTGAGGTTACTGTGAGCTATGAAGTGATGACACTCTACCAAGGGTGACAAAGTGAGACTCTAACAAAACAAACAAACAAACAAAAATCACTAGCCTAATGATAGGGGTCCAGAAAAGGCAAGCCCTTTAGAACCCACCAGCTCCCAACCAAGATCTACTTCCAAAAGGTTCACCTACAAGGCAGCTGAGGCAAAATCTGGAGCTCTCCAACCATATTAGCTGAAGTAACTAACAATCTGTCAAACCCCCTGCTTTACACATCATGGATAGAGACAGGCATGGCCTGGGCTTTGGACTAAGCCCCACAGTTGAATCTCTCAATCTGACACTCAGCAGCAGTGTGCCATCAGGTGAAAGGATGAATGACAGCAATGAATACGTGGTCTTGCCCTTTAGATTAAAATCTAGTTAAGAAAGACAAATGTACAAACACCCTCCAGAGGCATGAATCATGGGCTGAGTGAGGCCACTCACCTGGCAGGACAGGGAATGGGTGCTAGAGAAAGCTTCCTGAAGGAAAAAGAAACCGTACAGTAGTAATAATAGGAGCAGTAGTTATATATATCCTAATATATGGCATTTATTACGTGCAGTCCCTGTCCTAAGCACTTGTCATGTTCATTTAATCATGTTTGCTTAATCCTTACAATAGCCCTAATACATACAAAATCCCACCTTACGGATGAAGAAATTGAGAAGCTAAATAATCTTCCCGAGGGCCTGCAGCTACTAAGCCAGGGTTCAAAGCCAAGGAATCTGGTTCCAGAGTCTTTACTCCCCCTTCTGCCCCATATCAAACAGGAAGGGGCATGAAGCCCCACGCAGTGTGCATGGAAGAAGCTGCTCAGCTGCTGACAGCCAAGCAGAAGGTTGTTTTAAATGAACAAATGTAAGCTGGTGTCTGGCGCGCAGTGCTTCTGTTGATATCAGTGGACAGATGGAGGGACAGACATGATGTGTTCAGAGCTTTATGACCCAAACATTAGGCTCCCACAAACCAGGACAGCACCAAGTCCCAGTTCTTCTAGGGCAGTGGTTCAGAACTGGTTGGGTGTGGGGCTGAGTAGTCACTCTGAAGCAGATCTTAAGGATGCATGTTAACATCCAACGCCAGAAACCATTAGAAGGCTTTAGTGCTGCACTAGCTCCAGGATGTCCTGACCCCATGCCCACCACTCTTTCCCCCCAAGTGACACTACTCTACCACCTAAAAACCATAGCTGTTATCAGCCCACCTTTCACTCAGTAGTTGTCCTAACTCCTTTTTAAGTCTGTCCTGCCTTGAAGCGTTCTAAACACTGCCTCGCCATTCCAGTCTTGCAGACACCCCTGAGTACTAACCCAAGTAAGAGGCTGTGTGCTCCAGCAGGTTCACTGGAGTACTATTTACAAACAGCTAAAACTTTGACATGTACAAACAGGTAGTTCCATAAACTATTAACATTAATCATGAAATATTTGACAGAGCTAAATTAAAAAGTTAAATGGTTTCTTTACTGTGAGACTTTGCAGAGCTTTTACTAGCTAGTGAGCATCCCTCAAAGGAGACATGGCACACTTACACCTAACCTGACCACAGAAAATGGCCCCACAAAACATGAGTGGAAATCTCGTTATACCAAAACACTGACTACTATACTTTGTCCCCAGAGCCCCCTCCAGGTAACAACCCAGTTCTTAGCTCCCCTTCCCAGCACATTTTCTTATCTAATATCACTGACTTCCACTTCCTTACTTCACACCCTTTCGAACCACTCCAAGCAGGCTGCCAGCCCTAGCACTGCCCTGGGATGGGCTCCTGAGGGTACTAAGGACCACCCTGGGCCACCATACTCCCACTGTAGGTTGCGCTGGCTTCTTGTTCCTTCACACTTTGCTCATTCCAGCCTTAGTGCCTTCTCCTCTCCCATTTTAGGTCCCTGTCATTCTACTTTCAGCTTTGACATCACCATCTCTGGCCCTTTCCTAATCTCCCAATCTAAAAAAGCCATGGGACCCTACGGTAATTCCCCACCAGGCACATTCCTTATCTGACCTTGTTTACTGCTCCCTGACTCTCTCCTAGAAAAAGCTCTACTTCCACTCTAATCTTGCCTACACATCTCCCTCCCTCCCAGGTTTGTGTGAGAGGCCAAGTCCCTAGAAACACAAGATCAAGGCCTGCAGGAACATGGAATATTTCTTCTGACAAATGGCTTACAGATTTATTTTTATTTCTGCTATGCAACTTTAAAAAAAAGAGATACATGCAAAGAAAGGGACAATGGGCTTCCCAGAAGCCCATTCCTGTGTGTGCCCTTCCTTGACCTCCCCTGCTCAGATATTCCAGGTACAGACAGACACAGGGAGGTGGTTATATTGTTTTCTTTTTTTAATGAAACTAGATCACTGCTTACAAAACTCTGCACAAGCTCTCCTGCCCATCCCCTTCACAGTTCCCGTGGCTCAGCCTCTCCGGACTCATAGGAACTAAAACAAAGTGGGTACAGAATAGCAACCACCACATTGTCGATTCAACAAATGACATGAGGGGAGAGGTCCTGGGCTCCAACTCTGGGCCTTCAGAGAGTGACAGTTCTTCCTCCACAGCTGTTCCTGTGGGGCCTAGAGGTGCACGGATGAGGGTAGTCCATGCTGCCATGGCTCTCAGGCCACCACCCAGACCAGAGTGAAATGATGTGAATGTCCCACCCACAGATGATCCCCAAACCCCTGTACTCTCCCCCCTCCCCCCACCCCTAGTGCTACCCCTCTACTGAGATGCGGCCCAGCTTCCATGAAAAGAAGCAGAGCCTACAGGCTGTAGAACTTGAGGCTCCTGTCCATGCCTGTCGAAGCGATGAACTTGGCGTGGTGCCCAAAGGCCACCCCGGTTGTCAGGCCACTATGTTCTGAGGAAAAAGACAAGAGGCAACTGTGAGAAGGCTTTTCTCTCTTTAGTCTGAACAATGACTGCTAATAACAAAGCTCATAATACAACCAGTCCTCCCCACACTGTGCACTCTCCAGGGCAAGATTCCAGTCTGACCCACTTGCCACGTGTCTCCCACAGTCTGGGTACTCCATTTTTCATTGGTGGATAAAAGAATAAAGCTGTGTGGGCGGCACCTGTGGCTCAAAGGAGTAAGGTGCCGGCCCCATATGCCGGAGGTGGTGGGTTCAAACCCAGCCTCAGCCAAAAAAAAAAAAAACTGCAAGAATAAAGCAGTGTCCATACTCATTTTCACCTAAGCTATCTAGGCAACTGTGATTCAGTTACAGGAAACATCTGAATGTTCAACTTGTTGATATACATTTAGTTTTAACTCCTTGCTTATAATTGGAATATTCAGTTAGCTTGTCCTAGCTCATGGGATTCCATCCAACTCCAGGGCACTTGGGCCCCTAACATAGGGCAGGGCTGGTCAGGGCTCAGGGGAACGCTCTTCATAGGAGTCAAGAAATTCATGATCAGTCAAGAAAAGTGCCAATCTTGATCGTTTTAAGAGTGCTTTTTAAACACACGAAATAAATATTCCAAAAAAAAAAAAAAAAAGAGGGATTCATGATCCATGATCAGGACAAACTAGATGTAGGAGCACACCTACTCCACAGCTGGAATTCAACAGCTTCTCACTAAAAATCCTGCATTATGCTTCCAGCCTGCCACCCAGCCTAACTCAGATCCAAATCAAATCACCAGGTCCAGTGTAAGGTTAAAAGCAGTAGGCCATCTAGTTACAAGTGACACTTTTAAACACAGACACACTGAGCAGGGCTCAGGAGAATATGGGGCATGCAAGAAATATCTTATATCCAGCCCACAACCTGAGAAGGATGTGAATTTCATCAAAAAGATCACAGCAGTTCCCACTCATTCTAAGAGAGCATCAGGTCCCCCGTTATCATACATGTCACCTCCACATCAGTAGTTGTCACACTCTTCAAGGTCAACATTCCCATATTAAAGATGAAGGAGCTAAAGTTCTGAAAGGAAAGTCATGTAGCCAGGGCCACACCAACTATCAGAAAAGTCAAAAACCGGGCTGGGTGCAGTGGTTCACATCTGTAATCCTACCAATCTGGGAAGCCGAGGCAGGAGGATCAGTTGAGCTCAGGAGTTCTGACACCAGCCTAAGCAAGAGTGAGACCCTATCTCTCCTAAAAATAGAAAAACTAGCCAGGCATTGTGGTGGGTGCCTATAGTCTCAGCTACTCGGGAAGCTAAGGAACAAGGATCATTTGAGCCTAGGAGTTTGGGGTTGCTGTGAACAAGGCTGACACCACAGCACTCTAGCCTAGAAAACAGAGTAAAACTCTGTCTTAAAAAAAGTCAGAAACTCTGTTATTGCTGGCTCAGCATCTCATACTTTTCTAATCTAGCACCTACAACTACAACTGAATAATAATCTGTGAAATCATCCTGTATGTCCCCTTCTAACTTGACTATAAATTCCATCAGTGCCGAGACTGGGTCTGTCTTATTCACTGCTCTAATCCCAGAAGGGACTAAAACACAGACGAAATAAGAACAATAGCAAATCCTACTGCATACCAGACAATGCGGTCACCTACCTATATACAAGATGGCACCTGACTTAATGATAGTTCAACTTAAAGTATTTCCATCTTTTTTTTTTTTTTTTTTTTTTGAGACGGAGCCTCAAGCTATCCCCCTGGGTAGAGTGCCATGGCATCATGCTCACAGCAACCTCCAACTCCTGGGCTCAAGTGAGTCTCCTGCCTCAGCCTCCCAAGTAGCTGGGACTACAGGCGCCCGCCACAACACCTGGCCATTTTTTGGTTGCAGCCATCATTGTTGTTTGGTAGGCCCGGACTAGGGATTCGAACCCGCCACGTTAGGTGTATGTGGCTGGCGCCTTAGCCACTTTAGCCACAGGCGCCAAGCCAAGTATTTCCATCTTATGATGGTTTTGTCACGACATAGCCCTGTGATAGGTTGAGGAGCATCTGGACTTGATGGATCAACTTAAGATATTTTTATATTACACTGGGATTATAAGGTATTAAGTGCATTTTCAACTTAAACTGTGTATATCAGGACATAACCCCATCATAAGCAGAGGAATATCTGTGTATATTTTCATCTAAACTTCACAAAAGCCTACTGAGTATGTACTATTATTCCCATTTTTCTGAGGGTTCAGACAGGTTCTGTTGGGTGGCAGAAAATAATATCCCAAAGTATAGCACTTTGGCAGGCTGAGTACTTTGAACTAAAGAAGAACCAACATCTCTCACCCCTGTTTTTCTTATCTGACAAAGGAATACAACTGTCACAAATCTCTTCCTGGGGAGCCTCACCAACTAGGGAGAACTAACTGGTATCACAAGAAAGGAGACTGGAGGTTGGACACCATGTCCAGTGTTTGTCACAGACTATCACCTATTCTGAGACAGTTTGTCTCCAGGACAGGTTTTATTACCCAAGAGCCTTATGAGTACATTTCTTCCCTACAACTACCATAACTTGTATCCTTGTCACCAGCTAGAAGCCCCAGGCCCCTATTCCTTTCTGTAGCTCAGGATGCTATTTAGTCATGTGCCACATAATGACAATTTGCTCAAGGGTGGACCATATATACAACAGGGAGCCATAAGGTTACAATGGAGCTGAAAAATTCCTGTCACCTAGTGACATCACGGCCATCAGAACATCATGATATAACGCATTCCTTACAAGTGATGCAGGTGTAAACAAACCTTTGCTGCCAGTCATATAAAAAGTACAGGATAAGGATATACAATTATGTACAGTATACAATATAACATTTGATAATCATAAATGGCTATGTTACTGGTTTATGTGCAGGCATACCTCAAAGATACTGCAGGTTCAGTTCCAGACCACCAAATAAAGTCGCACATTTTGTTGTTTACCAGTTCATATAAGTTATGTTTAATAGACTACACTGAACTATAGTCTCTTGAGTATACATTATCATTATGTATAAAAAGGCAATGTATATACTTTAAAAATATTTTATTGCTAAACAATGCTAACGATCATCTGCACCTTCAGCAAGTCTATCTTTTTGCTACTGAAGGGTCTGGCCTTAATACTGATGGCTGCCAACTGAGCAGGACACTGGCTGCTGAAGGCTGGGGTGGTTGTATCAATTTCTTAAAATAAGACAACAATGATGTTTGCCACATTAACTCTTCCTTTCTTAAAAGACTTCTCTACATCATGTAATGAATGTTATTTGAAAGCATTTTTACCTCTAGTAGAACTTTCAAAATTGGAGCCAATCCTCTCAAACTCTATTACTGCTTTATCAATTGAGTTTATGTAATATTCTAAATTCTTTGTTGTCATTTCAACAGCCTCTTTACCAGGTGTAGATTCCATTTCAAGAAACTATCTTGGCTCGGCGCCTATAGCTCAACCGGCTAAGGCGCCAGCCACGTACACC